TCTAATAGAGGTAATTCAAGACAAGAATTATCACTTTGATTATAAATTTTTATCACTCATCAATAAAATAGTCAACTGGTATATATTTCCTATATGATTGACTTGTATTCTTTTCAAAATAGACTGATCTTTTACATCCACATAGTATAATTTCATTATCTATTTACTCTGAAAGTTTAACTTTAAAGTGGACCTGAAACTTGTTAAATTTTAACTGAATACAGTTGTGTAAGTTAGTGCAGATAGTTTATCTGTACAAGATGCTGAATCAAGTCCCAACTATACTTGTCAGTTAAACTGCTGGTTGAAACATTATTAAATTTAATTTGATGAAGGGTATATTACCAGAAACAGGTAGTTTAATAAATATAATAACCAACCTGGTGTTTTTAGTATGTTGTTCCCCTCTTATAACTTTTTAATTTATATTTTATTCATAAAGATCTAATCTTTCGTTTTGATTTTTTTTTATAATTTTGCATCAATTTGAGCAATGGATGTGTCATGTTTATTATGTTAGTGATATGTCAACACAAGTCATGAAGTACTAAAAATAAGAATGTTTACATAAAAGAATCTCGTCACATGTACAGACTGACCTGTTTTTATGCCAGTAATATAAACCGGCCAGTAACAGCACTTGTATTCAGATAGTAAAATCTCACAGATAATGTCAAGGTCATATGGTGACTTCCATGGAGAAAAACTTGAGGTACCCCTCCATTTATGATAGTAATATACTATTATGTCTGGGACATCCAGGATGGTTCTGGAAATTCAGTGACTGTCACAGGAGTATGGGGGATGATTAATGTCCAATTATAACAGTTATTTTTGACAAAACTTCCAGCGGACAACCATAAGTCTTGGAAATTATAAGTTCATGATTGTATCACATGTTAAAAGCAAATAAGTTTCTTGGCTAGAATTATTTCTATCTATTTCAATATTTCAACATTTCAAATTCTACAAAAACAAATTTTGTCCTAAAAAGAAAGCAAATAATCCCTTCTAATAAACATGTTTTAATTAAGTACAAAAATTTATCTCTTTCCTAAGTGATTATCATTTATCTCTTTCCTAAGTAATTATCACCTCCCCACATACATGTCAATTTATTGGTAACTTCGTCAACTACTGATAAGGACATTTCATTTTCAACTTAACATTTGAATTCTTCCCAAGAATATGTTTAGCAACCAACAGTTTAACCTTGAAGTGGATTATTTTTTTAGTAGAATGTGCAAATTTGAGGTACTCATTGAGAATAACCATTACTAATGGAAACTCACTTCCTGAGCAATAGGGATGTCCTCTATTTTCATGTGTTCTGAAATCAAGCACCATTAGACATAATATCACCTAACTAACCATCATATCATTACCTCACCATCAATATCACATTAATATCATCTTATTAACATCATTTTAAAAAAAAAATATCCATCAAACTATATCTTTTTATTAATTAAACAAAATATTAATTTAATTCAAAATAAACTTTTTCCCAATTTTTACAAACTAAATAAACTTTTTTACCAATTTTTACTTAACAGATGGTGGTTCACACTTATACAAAAGTTTTCATATTTGAAAGTAATTTTTTAAGGCTCTTGGGGTGACCAATGTTTTAAATACTAAAATTTTTCTCAGAGAAAAAAAAAAAACAAAAAAGAGAAAGCTATTATTGGGATTCAATTACTTTATATTCAATTCTGAATTTATTTTTTTTTCATTCTTTCTTTTCTAAAATAAAAGCATACAAGTTTTAAAAAACAACTAATGTCGTTTAACTATGGGTATTTCCCAACATTAGATTACAAAAGCTTTAAAATCAAAAGAACAGTAACATAAATAATTCTCCTCCTGCAGTCTTCCCACCCACATCCCTCTTAACCACAATTATTGAAAATGGCCCTTAATTAAATGACGCCGCGCCATGACAAAACCAAAACATAATGGGTTTTTGCGAACCAAAACATGGATCCAGACCAGCCCTGCACATCTGCGCAGTCTGAATCAGGATCCATGCTGTTCGGCATCATTTCTAAACTATAAGGGTTTTTGTAAGGGGAACAGCAATGGGATCCCTCTGAGATAACCCTGCGCGAAATCGCAGGGCTGGTCTAGATCCATGCTGGTCGCAAAAACTTTTATTTAGTTTTTGTCATGGAAAAGGCTAAAATAGTATGTATAAAAATCTTTGAGAAAAATGTCAATTGAACATAATGAATTACATTATATTAAATGTTCCTAATTCATTTGGAGTTTTCAAAAATTTAATAAAACAAAGATGAGTCTGGGTACTGTAATATAAGTGGGGTGGGGTAAATAATGTCAGAGGGGAGCAAAAAAAGTTAAACTATGTTATCTGGGAATAATAATCCTGCTGGTTTTTAAGTTGAATGCCCAGTTTGTTATGAATTCGCATGTGAACAAGTTTTCCAAAAATACTCTTCACGGAAGCGATTTCTTATGAGGAAACCCCCCCTGATACGGTTTCTGTAGATTTATGTGATCCAATTTTTAGCCTTGGGAAAAAAAATTTCTATCTCCCAGTGTTTGGTGTTTCATTTGGCATTGCTGATCTATACATATACAATATTTAACAATCAAAAAATTCATTTAACATTCCCCACACAAAAAAAAATTCATATGTTAAACAAATTTTAAAAAAAGGAAAAATGAGTGTAAAAAAGTTTTAAAATTTTTTCTCCCCAGAACAAACTTAATTTGTAATAATTTTCTTATTCTTGACCTTAGACACTGACTATTTATTGAATGAAAAGTGTGAGAAAAATCAATTAAACATGACCCATTTTTTCTTTTGGTTAATTACATCAAGAACTGTTGATGAAAACCATCGAAATGGACCTTTTTATAATTCAAACACAGTCCTAGGTTTATCATCATGGACAATACAAACTTTCTTTATTTTTCTTGTCTTTGAACTTATCCATCTGTACATAAGGAAAGCCAATAAAGTTTTAGATTTATTTAAATATACTGGTATTAAATGTGGAACCTCATCTCTAAATGCCATTCCCATCTTCTCCGATCTGGTCCTCGAGTCAGACCTGGACAACTCCTTGAACGTCTGAATGAAGGTCGTTTCTTCCCAACTCGTTACGTCTGAACCTTTTGTTCTTGACCACTTCCTGTAGAGGTCCCAGATCCATGTTGGATCCTGAAATGGAAAATGAAGTTTTTGTTTTTGGGTCTCGCCAACAAATGCCAAGGTCATATGCTGATTTTGCCAGCATTACTGGGTACCCTTCTGTGCAATGTTTCAATTCCAACATTACTGGTACCCTTCCCTGTGCACTGTTTTTTTTCCAACATTACTGGTACCGCCATCTTTCTGTGCAACTGTTTTTATTTCCAGCATTAACTGGTACTCTTCTGTGCACTGTTTCATTTCCCAACATTACTGGTACCCCTTCCTGTGACTGTTTTATTTCCAGCATTACTGGTACCCTTCTGTGCACTGTTTTTATTTCCAACATTACTGGTACCCTTCTGTGCACTGTTTTATTTCCAGCATTACTGGTACCCTTCTGTGGCACTGTTTCATTTCCAACATTACTGTACCTTCTGTGCACTGTTTTATTTCCAGCATTACTGGTACCTACTGTGCACTGTTTCATAGGAGAACTGCCAATGACCAGTTCAACATAAGGCATGTGTGATGATTCACATTTAAAACCAGTTATTATAGAGGATTCAGTGGGCTTTTTTTGATATGTCCGGGACAGGAAATATCTTCCAAGATTTGTCTAAAAACTGAAGAAGGTTTGGACCAAATTTTCAGGTCATTCCCTAGCTACATTTTACCAGAATTATCATATTTATATTGCACAAAATGACTCTGTATTTAATGTTTAAGTAAATTATTGTACCCCATTGCCAATATATAAATGAGACACTTATACAATATTTACAACAATTGCCAACTTCGTATGTTGTCAAAAATATAGTTTGTGAATAGTTTGTGAATAAAATGGCTAAATAGTGATTATAATTTGTCGACAATTTGCTAGTTTATTCTTATATATAAGGTTTCAATCAGATTGTTTTTCCAGTACAGACAGGCAGATAGTTTAAAAACAGTTTTCAGTTTATTTATTTCAGCATACTAGGAAATACAGTACATGTTCACTCCTATAACATATGGGCAACAGTTTGTAAATACAAAAGTTTGAAAAGAAATTGAAATATGAATCGCGTCATGACAAAACCAACATAGTGCGTTTGCGACCAGCATGGATCCAGACCAGCCTGCGCATTCGCGCAGTTTGATCAGGATCCATGCTGTTCGCTATTAGTTTCTCTACTTGATAGAGTTGATTAGCGAACAGCATGGATCCTGATCTGATTTGGATCCATGCTGGTCGCAAACGCACTATGTTGGTTTTGTCATGACGCGGCTCATTTTATTAAAACATGAATCTTTAAATCAGTGTAAAAAATGAACTTTATGTCAAAAAGCTCTTAGGAAAAAAAGAAAAGAAAATTACTGATCTAAATTTCTCAGAAGAAACCAATCTTTCATCTGAACGTTTTCTATTTTTGTTGACAAATGTTAACTTACAGTTTTGGTATCAGGAGTGCTTGTGGACACAATCACATTTCTGGGTTGTCTTGCTGAGTGACCTTGTATTTTTCAAGGACATTTTTAACGCCATTTAGCACTAAATAGTAATGGTGTGGCACAGTAATGAAACAGTCTAGAAGCCTGCTTTAATTGCTTCATAATAGATTCCTGCAAACATACAATTAACATGATAATATAAAAATATACTGCCATGTTTATCACAATTTCACATTTCACAGAAAATCTTAATATTATACATGTTATTCACTTAGACATAAATGCTATTTTTAATTCCAAACCATTTCACTGCTACTTTACAATTAAAACTTGAAATAAAATAGAGGTTGTAAAGTTCAATTAGATTGAGCTTTCACAAATATTGCATAGGCAATGAAATTTTAATTAATAACTAATGGAATTATACTAACAGATATTGGATAATTAGGTGACATTTTCTGTACCCACATGACATACAACCTGCTAATATTGTGGATCTTGTCAAATTCTGAAATCAAAGCTCAACAAATTAAATCATTTCAATAATTTATTTGTTCATTTTATAGAAAATATTTCAACAAAAATATCATACTCATAATATTACAGTCATTCTATCTCTTACAGGTCATTCTCAACAATGGTATAAACAAGGGGAGTTGTGACTAAGTTGTTTAGGTGTCTGCTGCAAAACCCTGAGGTTGTGGGTTTAAGCCCTATCCAAGTCATCTACATAAATTGTAATATGACACCAGCACTGGCTGGTTCTCAGGAAGCTACGTGAAAGTCACAAATACTTATTTCATAATCAAGATTAAACGAATATATCTAAAATAAACTAAAATAGCAAAATTAATTCTAATCTGATTTTGAAAGAATGTGAATTTTAAAGAACTTACGTCTTTTGTGATCAAGTCTGATGTCATGGGCTTGTTGGCCATATTGTTTCACGTAATCAGTATGGCAAGCCAAGTATGACACATGGAGTGGCTTGTTCGGGTACAAGTCTTTAAATGTAACATCAAAAGGAAGGTATGTCTCCCTGACAGAAGACGAACTCTGTGTACGATTTAACTTCTCCTTATTTGGTGGGGGCGGGGCTGGACAGTTGATCAGCTGATCAATGGAGTCGGTCTGCTGACTCATTTTCTCCTGTAATAGCATAGCTTATCAATTTAATCTCCTTTAACGAAATATACTTTTATTTACAAGCACTTTATGCCTCAAAAATGAATACAATTTTTTGAAATTTGTCAATTAATTTCATTGCTCACTTAACAATATTTTATTTTTTAATATATTTTTAAATTTTTCATGAAAATTAGCAGGAATCTGGAGGAATGCTTCTTTAAGTCTGCAATAAGGTTTAACCCTTTAATCTCTGACACCAGTTTTGACAGGTGTCTTCTCAATTTCAGTATTGAGACCTTGATTGAGATCTTGATAGGGTTAAACAATATGATAATTAAGTAAACCCTGTACAATAAATTTACCAACTTACCATATTGCACGCAGCATTACCATACATGTAGTGATTAAACAGACCACATTTCTGTGTAACAACATTAGATAACAGGTGTGTCCGACAATTGTTCCATTGTACTAATTTTATCATGTGCTTAGATAAAGTTGAGAATGCCTCATTTGTCAAGTTGTAAGCATACAGCCATATCTGAAACAAAACAACACCATAGATGAAAGAAAGTTTTATCCCATACTGATACTTATCCACTACTAAAAACAATAGTATTACCAATCTTGCCCAGTTACTATCTTCATTTTGATTCAAGTCTTTACTTATTGGTCAGGAAAAGTACAATACATTTTTTTATACAATATTTCCATGTGTATGTCTACTAATTGGTATTAAGTATCAAATTTTCAGATATTTTAGTTTTCACTCAATATATATTTGTATGTCTTATTTTATAAACATGCATATATTATTCTTTTCTTTGAAAATATATCAATAACTTGAAAATATTGTTGCACTAAATAATGGAAAATAGATTCTACAACATACTGACAGAACGATATACCTCTTTGTTTTTCAACGAGAGAAGTAAGAATCTCTGACGTGGAATCAACGATGTCGACTCTGAGAACATTCCAAATGTTTTACCTTCTGTTACCGATGGAATGTGAGCTGCAAATTTTTGTGAAGCATGCTTTCCTGAATAAAAAATTAATAAATATCCTAGAATATATAAATAATATATACATTTTATATAAAACAATACCAATTGTATTTACATGTAATCTCCTATATACAATTTGTTTTGCAAGATTTTACCTAAATATGATAGTAATAAAAGGCTAAATTTTTAATTAATTAACTGACAGAATATGACAGTGCCGTTGCAATAAACCTTTCAAATTATACTATGTTTCCTTTATACATATATATCAAACCTTATATATTGACATTGCCCTTGGAATTTAAAAATCACTAGAAATGTGTCCATAGGAAACGGATGCCCTCACACGACACTGTTCTGTCAATCTTATGACTCTAGGTCAAATATTTTTTGGACTACATGTGCCACAAGTTGAAAACTAAAAATCAACAAAGGGCCATAATTCTGTTAAATTTGGTCGCAGCAAAAATTCCTTCCTTTACTACCATCTACACATTAAGGTTGTTCATCCCTGGAAGTTTAAGCAAAATCTGCCATCCGGTTTAAGAGGAGTTGCGTTCACAAAATTTCTACATAGTATATAGTGAAAAAATCAACAAAGGGCCATAATTCTGTTAAATTTGGTTGCAGCAAAAATTCCTTCCTTCACTACCATCTACACATTAAGGTTGTTCATCCCTTGAAGTTTGAGCAAAATCTGCCATCCGGTTTAAGAGGAGTTGCGTTCACAAGATTTTCGGGACGTACGGACAGACGTACGGACGGACGGACACTCGGACAGACAAGTGCAACGCTATATGCTCCCACTCTGTGAGGGCATAAAAATACTAAGATTAAATAGCTTACAGTATAGAACCTATTTAGATTGTACAGATATACTCTATGTCTGGTTCTATACTGTCATCGATATCTTCAGCACTAAGAAAGTTAACCTCTATTCTACTGAATTACAATGTTCCTTTGTGACAGGTGAGCTAAAAAGACTACACCTCTTTTTTATAAATTGAACATTGCCAATAATATCCTCCAGATATTTATAGATATTTATGCAGGTCAAAGGGGTAATTGACTTTTAACATGATGCTTATTTTATGAATGTTCAGGCTACCATGCCTCTATACTGGTGTCATAGGTTAACCACACATTTGTTTCCAGTAGGGTAAGGGTTAATATTTGAGCCGTGTCATGACAAAACCAACAGTGAGTTTGCAACCAGCATGGATCCAGACCAGCCTGCGCCAGGATCCATACTGTTCGCTATCAGTTTCTCTACTTGTTATAGATTTTGGTAAGCTAACAGCATGGATCCTGATCAGACTGCACAGATGCTCAGGCTGGTCTGGATCCATGCTGGTCGCAAACGCATTATGTTGGTTTTGTCGTGACGCGGCTCATTTTACCTTTAATACTGGAGGATTGTTCAGGATTATCTTCCTCATCATATGGATGATGTATAAACGTGTACCACTGTTCAAAGTCACGACTTATTGCAGCAAAATGTCTGTCTACTCCAGGTGTAAGTGTCTGTGGTCTGCTATTGTCCAGGGAGGTCTCTGACCTGCGTCTTCCAGTCTGAAAATATCAAAGTACATACCACTTACCTTAAAATGCCGAATTTAAACATTTTTTACACAGTTCATCAAAATAGGCAATGTTTACACGGAAATTTAATCGGTTCATACAAAATTTCAGTTATTTTGTTCACCATTTAAACTCAATGCAGACATACAAAGTAGCAAAAAAATTTTGTATGTCAACTTTACAAGGTTCCATGCTATATTTTTGAAGAGAAACTTTTTTATCTTGTTAAATGATGCATATTGCTGATACATGCTCCAGCATTTGGTTATGTCAAATTGATAACAATCAAGTATAGTATAGTCGCACTTCAATTCCAGTGATTTCGTTAAATTTCAAAGAAACTTTTATTTTTTCAAAACATTCAACAAAAATTAATCTGTTCTTTATATTCATATTCTTAATACTGACATACTAAACAGACAGCAAAGACATGTTATGTATTTCAGACAAAGGAACAAAAAAAACATCAACATACAATTATAAAGAACTTATTTTAAAGCAAATTTACAGCAAAAAATAATATTGAAAAATCTGCTAGTTCAGATTTACCTGACCATCATGTAGTATTATTTTGGGAATGAGGAACTCTTAAACAAACATACCTCAAAAGGAGATCTGTTTGGTACATAGAGAACACCTATATTTGAATCCTCGTCAACTTCTTCTTTAGGTAACATTTTATAAACCTTTGTGTGCATTGTTTGACTCATTCTTGACACTATGTGCTGGAACTCTTGTAATACATAGTCTAACGAGAACCGTGACTTCAGAGTCAGGTTCAACTTGTTAACTGATGGTGCCTCTGAAATACAAATGTTACATTATTTCATTCATATGATTCTGACTGTATGTCAAAGTTTCTATGGTTAAGGCTAAACGGCAAACATTCCAGCTTGTAATAGCGTAACTAACTCAAAAATGCTCGTCATTTCATTCTTTATGGCTCACGTTGGAAACCCTAATAGAACCGTCAAACTTTTGGAAGCTATATTAGAAATGAGTCTTTAAACTTAAAACTCATATTCACAATATTTGAAGTGAATTCCTTTGATAGTCTTTGACAAATGGATCTTAGCCAAAATATAAAATATTAAGTTGAAAAAGAATCAAAATTTTACAAAAACAAATTTCAGGATTATACATCATTTTGAAATGTAGACATTTTTTATGAAGGATATGAATAAAAAGTTTGAAGTTTATTAGGTAATCAACCTGAACAAAAGTTTATCCACATTGACACCATTGCCAACTCTGACCATAGTGTCATGATAATAGCTCCATTTTTTTTGGACAAAAATTGGAGCAAAATATAATTCTATATACTGGACCAGCAATCAAGAGACCAGTAGTTCAAGTCCCGGCTGCAGTGTGCCCATTTTTTACGAGTGAGTTTTCTATATATAATATATAAGGAAATTGTTCATAAATATATGGACTAACCTAGTTGACTACAGAATACAAGCCAGTCTTCCATCAGATCAGAATATATTTTATGTAAAGTTCCTCTGTCGCCACTTTCATACTGATTTACTATGTTCCCTAGTTCTGCTCTATGGGGGTTGCTAATCATCACCTTGTCTGGCATAGGGGAACTCGCCTTTGACCCATGACCAGAATCGGGTCCAGGCAGATCAAAAATCTAAAAACAACAAGAACATGGTAGGAGTATTTAATTCAAAACTTTGTTCACAGTTTTTATGATGAATTATCACAACATTAAGGTTATATAAAATGCATAAATCCATCAGTTTATTCACTAAACTCTAAATTTTTTTACAGAGAATTATGTATAACCATGTTTAAGAAAATATAAGTTCTTTTAAAGTCTGGATGAGAAAAAATTGAGCAAATAAATGGAACACTCTCCAAAGCACATAAAATGGTCCATTATTTATGATGTAATAATTCTTGTTTATTAAGACCTACAACCAAACTTTATATTCATTGTAAAATATTGAAAGAATTCCACAATGTAAATTTCATACCTTACTGTCTGGTGTAGGGGACATAACTTTCTTTGAAGAATTTATGAAAGCATCTCTTAAAGCTTGAAATCTGGATGGATTCTGTAATGATGACCGGCGGTCAAGACCTCGCCGAGTCTCTGAAGGTTTCTTCAACACCATAGATAATTTTCTCTCCCGAAAATCTTCACCTAAATGATCAGTATTATTTATATTAGATCTATTATACTTCATAAATGAAAAGCAATACTAGATTAATATCTTCCAACAAGAATTTTTTTCTTTAAAAAAAAAAATCAAATCACTCTTTTAAATCATTACTCAATACACACGTTATTAAATATACAGTATTAATGAGTGTAATACAGATATAATAATTAATAGAGGTAATATTCAGGTTGTATATAATATGGTATAATTCATTGATGTATACTGTGTTAAAAGAATAGTAAGCTATCATTTTAACTAAGAAGGTAATCTTCTTCAAGATCCTTTTCATTCAAACCTGAAATTATTTCTTTTTCAAAATTTCGGATTGAAAGTTATATGAAATCTTCGATTTTGAAACAGAACAACAGAATGATGCAGTTAAAAAAAAAATACAAATCCCAAGAAATAATTTTTAACAAGAGGGCCATGATGGCCCTGAAATCGCTCACCTGTATATAGGCCCCTGGACCAAGGCCAATTTTAAACCAGTGGTTTTTATTTGAACAAACTTGGTAGACACCCAATAGAAGATGTTTCATGATAAATATCTAAGCTCTAGCTCTTTGGGGTTTTTATAAGAAGATTTTTTAAGTTTTCACTATATACATATAGGGAAAAACAATGACCACACCTGGGAGGGGCCAAAGTTGACCCCAGGGCTTTTATTTGAACAAACATGGAAGACACTCACTAGAAGATATTAAATTTTCATGCTTAGTATCTTAACTCTAGCTCTTTGGGTTTTTAAAAAAAAATTTTTTTAAGTTTTAACTACATGTATATACAAATAAGGAAAATCAATGACCCCCTATGGCAGGGCCAATTTTTACCCCAGAGCTTTTATTTGAACAAACTTTGTAGACACCCGCTAGAAGATGTTTCATGCTTAATATCTAAACTCTAGCTATTTGGGTTTTTTAAAAGAAGATTTTTTAAGTTTTTACTTTATGTAAATAAGGAAAATTAATGACCCCCTGGGGCGGGGCCAATTTTGACCCCAGGGCAATTATCTTAACAAACTTGGGAGACACTGACTAGATGATGTTTCATGCAAAATAATTTAAGCTCTAGTCTTTCGGTTTTCTAAAAGAAGATATTTTAAGTTTGTTTTTTTGGTTGCCATTGCAACCAGAGTTCTGCTTGGAATTAAATTCTTTGAACAATTTTTAAAGTTGACTACAAAAGGAACATTCCTGTAAAGTTTGGATGAAATTGGCTTTGTGGTTTATGAGGAGATGTTGTTTAAAGTAAAAGTTTACGGCCGGACCAAAAGCGATCACAAAAGCCCACCATGTCACTTTGTGATAGGTGAGCTAAAAATATTACAAATAATTCACCGGAAACAATTTACTATGTTTTGTATATTTGACATAACAACTGCCTTGTATGGACAGGACAGGACAATAAAACAACAACAAGTGCTCCATGCTTGAACAATCTGTAATGCTTCTAACAAATAAATTCAACAACAACTGTAGCTATAACTTCATAATGTAAACAAATAAATAAAACAAAACCCATTCTTAAATATAAATTTTTCTTTCTTACTGTTCCATTAAAAATAAATAATGAAAACAATGTCATTTGTATGTAAAAAAAACTATAGTGATAGTTTATTTCCATGGTTGTCATATTTTTTTTTTATTCTAACTACAACAAATAATTTCCTACACTGAGAAAATTTTCAATATTGTTTACTTTTAAAAATATATCAATACACAGATTGCTTTTTTTTTGGAAGTTTGTCAACAACAGTTTTTATTTTGATTTTACACGCTTTTAACCAATACATTTATTTGAATCAACAGTGCCAATCATTCAATTGTAACACAGGAAGTATGCCCATTTTTACTGGTATACAAGAAGAGACATCAGGAAGAAATTATTTTTTGACTTCAATTATTTCGTACCTTTCGCCCCAGACGTTATTTTATCATCGAGTCATTTCGTAATAACCGAAAAAAAACGCATAAAAGTACTAGATAAATATTTTTTAAACGGCTAAATACAAGTAACTATAATTATGTGCTTTTTACTTAGAAGTGGAAATATACATCCAAATCCAGGGCCACCAGTATTCAGTACAAATTCAATGCCAGTCAAGAAAAATCAAGAAATCCTAAATTTCCATGTTCTTATGCAGCAAAGGTTTATTGCTACAAGCAAATCTGTGATATGTGCTATGTGCTTATACAAAAACTCACATGAAATGTGCTGATTGTGATAATTCTAGTGTACACCGTTCAATTTTACAACACAACCTTTACTCATGTTCCATAATATTTGCAGATTACTGTTTTATTTAAATTTGAACTCCCTTTTTTGTGATTATCAAAAAATTTTTTTTTAAGCCCCGTTCATCATAAGTTTTTTACAGTTTTCCCGGGAAATAAATGCATCCCTTTTTTTGGGACAGAAATTCCCCTACCAATATTTTAAACTACGGGCCATCAACAAACCTTCCCCCAGGGGCCTTAAAAAAAGGATTTTCATTTTTTTACCCCTAAAGGGTTAGATCTCTTTTCCCCAAAAATTTCGGGAACTAAGAATAATTGAAATTAAAAAAAAAGGGCAGCTTTTTTGGGTTTTAATTTCTAAAACCGGGCTTGAAAGTCTGTTAAAGACTAAAAAATTTAAAATTTTTGACAATTATACAGTTAAAAGATTGTAGAGACAGGCATGGAGGAGGAGTGTTTTTGCTATGTGGGGAAAATGATATTGCTTTTACTGCTAGCCCTGACTAAAATGTTTTAATGATGAAATTATTTTTATTGAAATTCTTTTGACCAAAAAAACCAACCAATTTCTTGTAGGTACATATATATAGACCTCCAAAACAATCAAATTTTATTGAACATTTTGAAAAATGTTTTATAATAGGTCTTAGATCAGATTGTGAATGTTACATTCTTGGAGATTTTAAATTTGTTTTTTTCCAAAAGTATAGGTTCAATTTTTAAATCCTACACTAGCATTTTGAAAATTTTTGATCTACAACAGATCATTACTGAAGCCACTAGAATTACTTTATCAAGCAAAAGTATAATTGATTCATATCATTAAATTAACCAATTTCCCAAAAGATAGGCCTAAGTCTATATGGTGTTATTTCTATTGGCCTTAGTGACACTTTTTTGACTTTTTGTAACAAGGAAAAATCAGCAAACAAAGTTTCAAAACATTATTTCTCTTAAAGTTTAGATGTGTAAAAAAATTATAGTAGAGAAATTTGTTTATAGAAAAACTAGGTCAAGCAGACTGGAGTAAATGTTTTTCATTCTGAATAATGTAAACAGTTCATGGGGTAGCTTTTAAAGATATTTTTATGTCAGTGTTGAATGCCATTGGGTCCTGTTAAAGAAATTAGATTAAAAACAGAGAACTGAAACCTTGGATGTATCAGAGATTTTAGACCATATTCAAAACAAGAGGAAACATTTTTATACAAGTTTTTAAGAAAATATGGTTGCCATGAAGATTTTTCTTGTTATTGTAAATTTAGAAAGTTTGTTCAAAGAGAAGTAAAAACATGCGAAGTCTTCTTAAATTTTAACATGAATCACTATTGCTGAAAAATAGAAATAAATCCAAAAGGCCTATGGAAACATTTAAAAACAATTGGGGTATAAATCCAAAACACAGGGAATGAAAATATTGTTTTAAAAATTGATAGTGAAAATTGTCAAAATCCTTTAAAAATTGCTAAATCATTTTAAATGACTTTTTTATCTACTGTTGGCTTCTAAGGCTAGTGGATAAGTTACCTTGTGCTTAGCAAAAAGTTTGACATTGGACTCACAAGCTTTTGTTAGATTTTTATAATGATTAGAAATAACTAAGAATAATGAAATGTACTTAAACATGTGTCCCGAGACATTTGTATATAAAGAGCTTAAGAATTTAAAACTCATCAAAAAGAGTACTTGGGTTTAGAATGAATTCCTGGCTAGATTTTTTAAAAGATGCAGCTTCATTTTTGAAAAAAAAAAAAAAAAAAAAAAAAAAAAAAAAAAAAAAAAAAAAAAAAAAAAAAAAAAAAAAAAAAAAAAAAAAAAAAAAAAAAAAAAAAAAAAAAAAAAAAAAAAAAAAAAAAAAAAAAAAAAAAAAAAAAAAAAAAAAAAAAAAAAAAAAAAAAAAAAAAAAAAAAAAAAAAAAAAAAAAAAAAAAAAAAAAAAAAAAAAAAAAAAAAAATAAAAAAAAAAAAAAAAAAAAAAAAAAAAAAAAAAAAAAAAAAAAAAAAAAAAAAAAAAAAAACAATTACCAATACTTTTATCATAAATATGTCAATTTCAAGAAAATTATGTCCCCTGATGACATGAAAGTAGCTAGGGTAAAACCTTTATATAAAAAAGAAAAACAGTTAAAAATCTTAGAAGTAGGGAAATTATAGAACCCTGTAAGCATTTTAAGCATTGTTTCAAAAATTTTAGAAAAAATAGTGTATTCTCAAATTAAAAAGTTTTTTTAGTTGATAATGGTTTTATTGTTGAATTTACAGTCCAGGTTTTAGAAATTCCTATTCCCTGACACTTGTCTTATCCCCCCACTTATGGATCATATAGAAACAATAATTCCCAAAAGGATTTTATACCAGGCATGATAATGTTAAGATCTACAAAAAGCATTTGATACTGTTGAAAGGCATGGATATTTTATGTGGAAAATTGAAAAATTGATGGGTATCTCAATCTGATGGTTTATGTCTTAAATTTAAAAAGGGAGAAAAAAAACTTTTTAGTGTTGATAAAATTTTTTCAGATTACATGGCCCGTTAAAATGTGGGGTTTTCCCCCGGGCAAACATCCTGGGTTTCCCCTTTTTTTTTTGTGCTATGTAAATGAATGAAAAATTTTGTATAGATGAAGAATGTAAACTTATTCTGTATGCCCATGAAAAATGCAAAATTTTTTTTGGTCACAAAAAACCAGTATTTTTTTCAAAAAATTGGACAAAAAACTAGAGTTTGTTCAAAACTTGGGTTGGGAGATAAAAAATTGTTTACTTCCCAGGAAAGACTGAAGGGCTTATTTTTGGTTCCAAAAAGTAAAATAAAAAAAAGTTAAAGAGTTCAAAAAATTGGGGTTTTTAATGGGGAAAAACTATTGAATTCCCCAAAAACTGTTAAAATCTAGGTTTAAATAAATTTATGATTCTTTGTCAGGTAAACTATTGTTAAATTTTATTCTTTACAAAAGGGGAAAATTAAAGTCTTAAGTTTTTTTATAGGCAAAAGGGAAATGTTTTAGATTTTAGGAATAAAAAAATTTTTTGCTCACCCAAAAATACAATTCACCTTGTTATGCTTTTTTTTTGGGTTTCCCCGAGCCTAAACAATGTTTTAAAATAAGTTTTCAAATTTTTCAAAAAAAAATTTTTAGTTTTACAGGGTTGGGACCTAGGTGTTTTCAAAAATGTTTTTTTTGCAAATTGTTTTTTATTTAAAGTAAAAAACCAGAAAAAAAGAAATTAAACCGCCCTTAAATTAAATTTTTTAAAAAATTGTTAAAACCCGTCCCCTTCTATATATAGAAAATTTTTACTTTTGAACTTATTTTTTAACTCTTTCAAATATAAAATTTTGGGGCCCCAAAAATTTATGGAAAGATAAATGTTAACTTTTTTCAAAAAGCAATTAATGATTGGAATTCCTTGCCAACATACATCAAAACTAGAAATGTGTCCCATAGGACACGGATGCCCCCCACACGCCCACTTGTTCTGTCAATCTTATGACTCTAGGTCAATATTTTTTGGACTACATGTGCCACAAGTTTTGAAACGTAAAAAATCAACAAAGGGCCATAATTCTGTTAAAATTTGGTCGCAGCCAAAAATTTTCTTTTTTTACTACCATCTACACCTTAAGGTTGTTAATCCCTGGAAAGTTTTAAGCAAAATCTGCCATCCGGGGTTTAAGAGGAGTTTGCGTTCACAAAATTTCTACATAGTATATAATGAAAAAATAAAAAAAAGGGCCATAATTCTGTTAAATTTTGGTTGCAGCAAACATTTTCCTTTCTTTACTACCATCTACACATTAAGGTTGTTCATCCCTGGAAGTTTAAGCAAAATCTGCAATCCGGTTTAAGAGGAGTTGCATTCACAAAATTTCTACATAGTTTATAGTGAAAATCAACAAAGGCATAAATTCTTAAAATTTGGTCGCAGCGAAAATTCCTTCCTTTACTACCATCTACACCTGAAGGTTGTTCATCCCTGTAAGTTTAAGCAAAAATCTGGCATCCGGTTTAAGAGGAGTTGCGTTCACAAAATTTCTACAATAGTATAATAGTGAAAAAATCAACAAAGGGCCATAATTCTTGTTAAATTTGGGTCGCAGCAAAAAATTCCCTTCCTTTACTACCATCTACACATTAAGGTTGTTCATCCCTGTAAGTTAAGCAAAATCTGCATCCTGCGGTTTAAGAGGAGTTTGCTTTCACAAAATTTTACACTAGTACCCTAGTAAAAGGGTTTAAAAAGGGCCTTTAAATTCTTTTAAAATTTTTGGTCCAGCAAATTTTTTCCTTTCCCTTTAAACTCCCATTTTTACACATTGGGGGTTTTTTCCCCCCTGTAAGTTTAACCCAAATCTCCTTTCCGGTTTAAGGGGGATTTTGGCGTTCAAAAGATTTCGGGACGTACGGAAACGGAGGGACTGACGGAGGGACGGACTGACCACTGACGGAGGGGACGGCCCAAGTAAAAAGTAATGCCCCCCAAAATTGGGGGGGCAAAAAAATTAAAAAGATAAAAATTTTAAAAAGCTCTGTAAAGGCCCCCTTTTTACTAGAACATTAGGTTAGTAAAAAATCTTTAAATTAAATCCACTTTTGACTAGAAAATTAAATCTAAATTTTTTTTGGGTTTTTTTTTTTTAGCAAAGTTTAATGGAAATACTAAAGTTTGAATTTTTTACGTAAATGACATCTCTTCCAGTTTCCAAAGTTTTATATTTTTCAATGTTTTTGTGTTTTATATTGTATATTATAGTAAGTATATATCCAAGGACCCACATTGGAAATAAGCCTTCGGGCTTTCATGGGCAATCCGAGGTTATTGCAACACTACTCTATACATGTTTTTCCACTTACGTCCTTACATTTTATTAAACCTAGTAAAATTGATATCTAGTCCATAGGAAAGAAAGGGTTTTTTAGAATTTTGTTTTTAGTTATAATTTTTAATTATTTAATGAGCCGTCTGTGATTATTTATGTCTGACAAATTCCGAAATATTTTTATTACAATTGTGTCATCAGTTTCATATAAAATGCTAAAGTGTTTGTTTTTATGTATACAATTGTATGTGTGTTTTAACCTGAATAAATATCCTCTATATTTATTTCAAACTAAAATTAAAACTTTCCCCTAAAATGAAATTTTTAAATTTAAAAAAACCCAAACGATTTTACTTTTAAAAAATGTTTTTCAAATCAAATTTAAAAATAAGAGCATTGAAAGTGTTTAAACCTTTGTCTGATAAGGGGTACAAAAATTTTTAAGTTAAAAAAGGGGATTAACTTCAACAATACAGCTTTCAAATTAGCGCCCTTGTTTAACAAATGGCACTTTGACATATTAGCAATATACAGATTTCAATGTTGACACATTAAACAATGATAAAATAATTGGCTACAAAAAGTTTTTGCCAACACAAGCGCAGACACAAAACCGTCATTATTTATCCTCAAACAGACAAAGCTAAAATGATAGAACTATTAAATAGACAAATTCATTGAATTTTAAAACAAATATTTTTACTCTTGATTTCCCTCCTAAATATATTTTCAGTAAAACACTTTTTATGAACAGGTCATTATATTTAAATCAAAATTTGCTATTCGTAGTATAAAGTAATTGAAGTATTATTGACATTTATAACAGTCGTGAGGAGATAATTTGCCACATGGCTTTTACTTAATATAAGCTGTGATGGCAATAATCTATAAATAATCTATAAAAGCACTTTTATCGTCATTGTTTTTCCGCAGTTTTCTTTGTTCTATAAGCAAGCCTACAGAAGCTATGGTACCATCTGTCTAGCATTACTTATCCTTTCCCCCTAAATAATTTCATGTAATGAACTTGTCTTTGATCAAATTTGATAGAAGCTGTTTATTTTCAAGTATTATAGAATCCAATTACTGAAAATTGACCAGTATATAGTATGGAGTCTGTTTATACTGCACAGATATTATATAGTCTAACCTATTTGTGTAGCATTTACATCTTTACTTTCTTAACCATGGTATGCGAACACTATTTATTTAAATTTTAAATCTAATTATTACGAAAGCAAAGGGGTTAATATAACTATAAGTAATAAATAAATATAGTTTTTATAAATAAACAGTTTAAACTACATATAAATAATAACATCTTACATTCTAATACAGTAGCATCAACCTGATAACAGTAAAAAACACAGTAACTTGAACATTCACTCAAATTCCACAAAGATATTTTCTCAACAAAATACACTAACACCTTACTTACACAGAGCTAAACTCACATTTATATTTCTACAAGAATAACTTTCTGTAATTTCTATTTATATATAAAAAACTAGTTGAAAAATGTTCCAGATATGTTATTTGGTATTTCAAGAAAAAAGAAACATGTTAGTCAAAAACAGGAAATGGAATTTTCAGATGTGTTTAAAGGGAGATAATAAGACAAATAGTTTGATATGGTAAGTCATATATTAAACAGTAATGTAATGAAGATTTTGTGTACAAGTGGAATAGACTATATATGATATGAGAAACTGGCGTACACTTACAAGATATCAACTTGTTTAATCTAATACAGTAAAGTAAATAAAATTATTCTTTCAAACATCATGATAAAGTTAATATAAAGAAGTGAAAAAAATCAAAGTGTGCTATGTACTGTAAATCAGGAATACTTTATCTAGTAACAAACCACAAAAACATTCTTAGCAATCAATTAAAGATGAATATCTATAGAAACATAAATCAAAAATTTAACATGTTAATAGAGATGTGTATTCCAAAGTTCCTTGTTGCTAGGTGTGTGTATGGTTTTTATAACGCAAATGGGTCTAAATTTCAAGTTTGTTTTACTAATGTTCAAGCTAATAATATTAATAATCATTAACATTACAATTTTACAAGCAACGGTTTATTATTTTGAAGCCAACCGAGATATTGATATTTCAAATGATAATTTGCAGTTTTAATCAAAGTAAGTTTATGATAAGTTTTACATACCCATTGCTTATTTGGAATTGTCCTTGATGTCAAGGATTCTGATTGCAATAAGGTTAGGAATAGGCAAACATTGATATAGGTACAGTTTGGTAACTGATCAAAGGTGTGCAGGCCGTGGCCTGCCTTCTAGACGCATCAACAAGTAGTTACACTGGCAAAAAGTAATACAAGTGACACTTGAATTAGATAGTCATGGTTTTACATGAAATATTTATAAGTGTTGAAGTATAATTTCTGAATTTACAGTAGCATTTAAATGGTGCCAGTAAGTAAAAAACACATACCTGGCAAGCATGTCTATGAAGAGGAGTAAGGTGAGATAAGTGGGTGGGGCAGGGAGAACATCCACTATGATTTTTGGCACCCGTACATAACGTGAGCTGCGAGTATGTGGTATTCATCAAAAAGATCACATTACACAGCATGTTTCAAATGCTAGGAAGTCAGCTTCTCCTGTAACCTGGGATATCTACATGCACCGGAAAAACTTGCCAGATTGTGACCTGTATCAACACTGTTGGACGATAAATCAATTATGTTATCATATTTCAATAAAGTCAAGTGACCAGTGTTTTATTGACGCTAGCTATAGCAAGGTACAAGCATGCACAGTGATATGTGCATTTGAATGATTCTAAAAAAACATAATAAAAGATATATAAAATTGAGAGACACATCTACAATATAGAAAAAGGCAAAAAATTTATTTACCCTTAACTTGCTGGAATAAAAGTGATTCGACTTCTTTTGAATCCATTAAACTTAAAAGCAGGGCAAATCCATTACATAATTTTAGCAAGTTAAGATTGAAACATTTTTATCTGATATTAAATATATGATAAATACTGTACCTGGTCGTTTTAGCTGTTGTGGGTTTGTAGATTCGAAAGCTTTTGTGAGTAACAACAAAATGTCTTGATAAGGTCCTTTGTGGGCAATATCAAGGTAGCAAGACTGGATGGTTTAGGACACTGTAACAACCTTACCCTGGTTACGTTGACCATGCTAAGACACTCACTGATGATACTGATATACCTGACAAAAACAGAAATACAGTGATATTAATAGTCAGTCCAACACGGCACATGGATACCCAAACTCTAATACTTAATGAAAGATTGTCACGCGTTGCACATTCCATAAGAATTAACTCCCTTCCTTACACTGTAAATTCATTATTATAGGTAACGGCTGTAAGAGCTCATTCATACAACTCCGATTATGAATACATAAACCATTTTCTTTGCAGTGGCTCATCTGTGTACTACTCACTCCCCCACAAGCGCTCTGGCTCGCGGGTCCGGCGAACTTACTTCTCCTCCAAAATGTACCCCTCCTCACAAAACACCTCTAATAACATATCTCACAGTCATGGATCCCTACATTCCATGCAACCACACACATTCCTCAGGCCTCATCCGCAACTGTCATGAGGCAGCTTCCTTACCAACATACTCTCACATCATCCACCCTTTAACATAAGCAGGTAACTCGTTGTATAACATACATCTTAATATATAGCAGGATACTTTTGGTCTTGTAGCCACGAGTGAGAATCAATGTTCTTTAAAGTTCTTCACGAGCCAAGAATAAGAAATTACAGAACTATCGTCTTGTTTAACTAAGTACATGACAAGATCAACTGTCTTCTGTGAGCGAAAAAGTCCCACCATCCCATGTCCCCCCCATACCTTCTCGTACTCAACTGCTGAATTATATTCAGACAATGCGCTTCTGCTTAACCATGTAACTGGCCGCCCACTTTCTTAAACGTCTGCCACCTTCTACGCGGAGGAAAATAATATGCTTTCGACTTCAGCCACAGGGAATACCATCTTTCGCATTCTGTTTTTGTCTTGTTTCGCGCTCCTTTTCTTTCGCTGGCTTACGCACCACCTCGACCACACGTACTACGCCGCTCATACTCGTCACCTTCCCAGCCTTTACTGTGGAGAAGAACTCAGGTGTCCACCTTCGTCGCATTATATCACCGGCACGAACGGCCCCCTCGATGTAGTAAACCAACGATCTCCATACAGCTAGCTGGATAGCTTCCCTTACACTGAAAGAATCCAACAGTCTCTGTCCGGATTTGAACCCACAGCGGTGAGGGGCAAGTGACATTTGGAATTTGTTTTATTCACACCTTTTTAAAAAGAAAGAAAACATATTTGAGGGTTGTAACAACAAAAAATAAGTGTTGACAGAGTGAAAACATTCAAAAAAGCAGCTAGCCGAAAATTGGAAAACTTGGAAGCTGGCTCAGGAACGCTGGGGTTGTTACTTGTTCCTTCCAGCTGATGGCTGTTATTTGACTTTTCATTTTTTCATAAAGAATACGCATTATTGCTCGTAGGATACTTTATATTCCCAATGTATCAATAGCAGTTTTGCAGTGGAAGAATGTATTTTCAGACTGTAAAATGAAACAAAAAATTTTAGAGACAACATTGTGATTTGGAATTGACGAATAGAAGTAAGCTCCATTTCTTCTTTTATACTTTTTGACATTAAGTTATTTTCCAATTTCAGCTTTGCTTTTCTTTAAGCGCCTGACCTTGTCAGAATTGTCAGCAAAAAAAATTGAGGTACCCACATGGGAAAATCTTAAAAGTAGTTTCGTCATTGAAAAGTTGAAAATTTGTAATTTTCAATTAAATTAATCAATATAATTTAAAGGATAAATCATTAATCCCTTGAAAGCACAAATACAAATGTTTGACTGAATGAATTTCAAAATCCAAAATAAAAAACTGAGCCACCAACATGAGTATAACCTGGCTGCTATGTTATTAAACCAACGCTGCTTATAATCAAAAGTTAAAATACTTATTAACATCTCAGTTGACAAATTATTTAATTTCAATTTCTAACACACTTTTAAGCAATATTCCCCACCAAACCAGATAGGATAGAATAAAGCTGCCTTATTAAGCGATATTCTGCATAGCAAAAATACCTGCTTGTACATCATATGAATCAATTACCAAATGTATAATGAACACAAGTTACTTCTAGATAAATGTAGTTAACATCGTTGTACCACAATTATTTCTAGATTAAAATTAGTAAACCATGTTGTAACACAATTACCTTCTAGATATTGGTACTTTAACACAGTTTGTAACACACATTAAACTTTCTAGATTAAATGTATTATAACATGTTGTAAACACATTAATTCTAGATTAAAATCCACGTTAACATGTTGTGAACACAAGTTATTCTTAAATTAAATGTAGTTAAACATGTGTAAACACAATTACTTCTAGATTAATAATGTAGTTAAATCCTTCACTGAACACAACTACCTCGTCTAGATAAAATGTATTAACATGTTCGTAAACACAATCTCTAGAATAATGTAGTTAAACATTTGTAAACACAATATACTTCTAGATTAAATGTAGTTAACACACACAACCAATACTTCTAATTAAATGTAGTTAACATATCTAACAACACAAAATTACTGGTCTAAATCAAAAATGTAGTTAAACATTGTCGTGAGAACACAATACTCTAGGACTTACAAGTGTTAAATCATGTCGTGAAACACAATTTACTTCGTAGACCTAAACTTGTTATACCAGTCCTCTGTAAGCACACCGATTATTCTAGATTAAACGTGAGTCTAAACTATGTTGTAAACACAAATTAATTCTACGATAAATTGTAGTTTAACATGCTTTGTAAACACAGAATACTTCTAGATTAAATGTATTAAACCATGATTATACCACAATTACTTCTAAGTAACATGTAGTTGAACATGTTGTTAACACACATAACTGCCGTCTAGATAAAGTGTAGTTAAACATTTGTGACAACACAATTTACTCTCTAGATTAAATGTAGTTATACATGTTGATAAACAGATTACTTCTAGATAAATGTAGTTAAACATGTTAAACCCATTATCTCCTCTAGATTGAAGTGGTATTAAACATGTTGTATAACACAATACATCTTCTAGACTAACATGCAGTGTAACATTGTGTAAAACAAATGACTCCTCTACTTATAACATTGTTTTTGTTATCATCTTTCGTAATGTAATGCAAGAAGATTATAATTTTATATTGCATTGCCGTAGATTAATGCAAGTGTGTATTGGTCTTGCATAGTGTACACTTCACTGTACATTTGATCTTGACTGTACACCTTATTCTAAGACAAGAAATCAAAAAAGTAAATCTTCCTTAACATACTTGAGCGCACAATAAGAATAAATTCCTGTAATATGTATAGCCACTAAACTGAGTTCAGCCCAACGGGAAATTGACTGCCTTGGTGGATTTAAACAATTGTAGTAATTCTGCTCTTAATCACACTATACGCTGCAGAGCTGGGCACTGGCTGTTATTGTGCACACTGCCAATCTTAAAATACTCTGCTGGTCCGTGCACCTGGTGTTTTGTATAACTGAAGAAAAGAAGATAAAATGAGCTACTCATGACACAAAGCCAACATACGTGCGTTTGCGACCCGAGCTTGGATACGCAGATAGCATGGCGATCCGTGCAGACCTGATCGATCCATGCTGGTCGCTAGCGAGTTCTCTAGCTTGTTATAGGTTTTGTAAGCAAACATCATGGGATCCTGATCAAGGACTGTGTGGGATGCACAGCTGGTCTGGATCCATGCTGTTCAATGCATAAGTGGTTTTGTCATGGATGGTGGTCATTATTTGTTAACATACACATTCTTGCTTTCTTAAATGCATATATTTATAAATTACAAGTATATCAAATTCGGAATCCAGGCAATTCTATTTAATGTCTTTAGATATCATAGTTAAATGAACTATAATTTTATCACATTTAAAGGCCAATATATTGCTCGATTTGATGTATATGGTAATAACTGTTGGTGAACAAATTATCATACTATTATAAAACAAAAGTAATATTACAACGACATCGTTAAATAGGACTCTAGACCGTGTTAACGAAATATCATGGCCCAACATCAAATCCACTAAACTGTAAATTTTTGATATTCATTAAGTAGAGACACTGTCATTGATCTTATTTGACTTTTAGACGGGCCGGTCACAGGATAACCTAGCCGAAAGTGCAGAGCATTATTTCCACTAGTGGTGCCTTATCTCAGAAGCCCTCCACCAGCACCAGCTATGAATGACCAATGGAATTCCGAGAACAAGTCCCTACTCTTAGTTGAAAAGATTCTGCTGGTTCTTCTTCACATGTCCCAGTGACTACGCACTGATTACATGCGATGGAGTTCCTTGGTCTTCGGATACCAGTCAAAGCCTCATAGTTACAATGTAGGGTGGGAACACGGAAAGTGTTGCTCCTGAACGAAATCCAAGGTGTTACCGCAGATCGAAGCCGGACCTCACGCGATGAGCGGAGCATCGGATCCTAAGCACTGAGCTACACTGTCCACTTATGTTTCTACAAACTGTATGTACACCATGTGTTAATGATCAATGTAACATTATATTTACCTGTTACACTCAGAAGGATCCGACGCCGCCATGACACTGCGACTACGTCGTAACATCTCACCACAGTTGCTCTCATGTGTGGCTTCTCTAACTTGTTCTGCTACATCTGTATTCAGATGATCTTTCCTTATCTCCTTTGCCTACCATGAATTTTAAAATATATTAATATTGAATATCTCACTCAGTAATATGAATCAACCTCAAATTTTATTCGCCATTTAGAACATAATACAGTGTTCTATGATGATGGTATTTACAACCCTCCATCTTACGTGCAGCTTGAACGATCATCTCTCAAGCTCTACGATACACTTAGTAGAACACGACTTCTGTATACAAGTCTGTTTTTTGTACCGTAGGCAAGACAAAAGTCTTACAGAAATATTTTAGTCAATTTTCGATAACAATAGTGGTCTTTAAAGCACAAAGTTGTGGTATATTTCTTTACATTGAATAACATTACCACGTGGCGGATTTACCATAATTCTACAAAATCATATTTTTATAAATCATCTCCCAGGTTCACTTAAGAGAACTACTTTTTCGTGATAATAACCATGACAATAACAATTATGTAAACATTGTTAAGTTCATCATCTCATCATCCAAGCAGATGTACACTGAGCTCAACACATCTTGAGTTGTATCTATTTCGTGCTGGCGACAGGGACAATGTAACTGTTTGACAACTGCATGACACAGTATTCAGCGATCTGTCATGAGGTTTTCAGACACCAACATGGTCAAGGTACTGTGTTATATAAAACAAACAATAATTGAGCAACCGCGTCATGAAAAACGATCATAATGGAAGTTTGCGACCAGACATTGACTCCAGACCAGCCTGCCCGCAGTCCGCGCAGCTCTGAATCACGATCCATACTGTTGCGTTAGAACCCTATAGCAAAGTAAGAGAAACTGATAGCGAAACAGCATGGATCCTGATCAGGAGCTGCGGCGGGATGCACAGGCCTTTCTGGATCCAATCCATTCTGTCCAACTCCATTGTTTTTTTCATGGATGCGCTGCTCGACACTTAATATTGTTAAACAGAAACCGGAAGATAAACAAATACAAGAAAATAAAACAATCAAAACACTTCTCATTCTTACCTCTCAGATTACAACTCTTAATTTCTGGCTCTGATTGTAAGAAAGCATTACTTATGCACGATGATTGATTCTTAGCTCCTTGAACTAACAGTACTGGTGTCAAATTAAGAAACATGGCTGTGACCTCAGTAGGGTTCAAAATCACATTCCCTATGTTGAATGGCAGACACCTTAACTACTAAGCCACAGTTTACCTATGACTGTAGTTGTATGAGATGGAATGTTATGTCACATATTATATATCAATGTGGTCATATTATTAGTTGTATAACAAATATTGAACAATATTGTATAAAAAAACCTGTATTCCGTCAGATATACTCCATTCACTATGAAAGCAGACTATTCTAACAAGGATATTACTTTTAAGTATTTTTGTGTTTATATCATGAGACAATGTTTTTTTTGTTTGTTTTTTGTGCTTTGTTCGTTGGCTTTTTTTTTTCTGTGAATCTATACTTTTCTCCCATGAACACAAAACAATTAGATAGTTAAAATACAGTACCGAACTATCATCTAACACACATTGAATCTAGCACTCGCTTGATTGTACTCTTTAATCTGAATTACAAAACATTTCTTATTAATACTCTAAATACAGCTCAATCAAAAAGCAAAAAGATAAGAAAGAATCATGATGACTCTTGATTGAATATCATTATGTAAAGCTATAGCAAGATTCGTTTGATTAATGTAATCGAAAAGATTGGTTTTTTCAGTTCAAAGTATCAATTCAATTAATCTGTGATTTCTTTACGAAATTTCTATTTTAGGGCCTATACATTTTAAATATAAAATGCTCAATAGCAAATTACAAGAAAATTCGACACCAATTCAAAGTTAAATAGATAACTTCTGAGAAGTTTCAAATTCTTTATTGATTATGTCTGAAACATTAAAAACAACCTAGATAAAAAACATTTTCCGTTGTTTGGTTCTTGATGAAAATCTGGTTGTTTCTGTTGTGACTGATAATTGAGGTTCAACTGGACCTCAAGCTTCACCCTGAATCAATAGTTCATATAATGTAATTATACATCACCTCGAATAATAAGTGCATAATGTAATTATACTCCATCCCTGAAAACATAGTTCATAGAATCTGCTATTTACATCATCCCTGAAATAATAGTCACTAGATTGAACAGAAATCATTCATGATATAGATACGTTTAATATAATTGTAAATTATATATCTCATCCTGAAATAATACTTTGAATACATGTAATTATACCAATCCCTGAAAATACAACTTAATATAACTTGTAAACAAAGAGAAAATTTACACATATTAATTATTTAATATGGTCAACTATCCATCCAGATATGTAATTAATTTAAATTCTGCGTATTATATTGTTCACTAAGTACCAGTAGGGTCTTTTTCAGCAATCGTCTTCAATAGCAATAAACTTATAAACAGGAAAGCAACTCATCCATTTCCTCAAGATTTAAACAAAGATTGAGAGTTCCATGAAAGGATTATATACACTACAAACAAAATCCTGAATAATTTGTAAGAATGCCTCATCTTAACAATTTTACATTTTTATACGAACATTCGAAAAAAAAACAATCTTCAAAACTGTGCACTTTGACTTTTTTTCTTTGTAATTCAGGTTAAACAAAATATCACCAATAGAAAAACAGTTAATTCCGCAAAAAAAAAAGAAGTGCAATATAGACCTGTGGTCTTAGTCCTAATCATATTTCTTATCATATAGCCAATAAATAACCCACACATCTCACTCAACATTGGTATTAACAAGCCAAACTCACTAATGAACATAGGTGGACCGCCCACTACCAGATCCCTCTTAAGACCAGGGTGAATTTCAGCTTGTTTGCCAAACTAATTTACAATACAAAAATATCCAGGGTCAAGGTTCTGGCAGCATGGAGGTCTTCCTCTCAAATGTATAATCATCCATCGTCCATCATCATTCTCAGAGGCCTTCCAATAAAACAGGAAATAAAGTGCTTCTCTTCACTTATCCCATGCCATGCTTTGTAAGTGTACTGCTTCAAACGATCTGTCAAAGCACAATGGTTAGAAAGAATATCTGTTGCTCAATTTTATATTGATCAATTTCTACATAAACTTGTATGTAACCTTTAACAGGAAACTGTAAAAAAAACTAATAAGTAAAAGCTTCTACACATATATGTTTGGTATTCAGACAGATTCTCAGCAAGTATTAGGTAAAACATGTCAAATATAATAACTATGTGACTTACTCGCTGGATTATGGGGTGTATAGTTGATCCTGTTCACTACCAAGATAAATTACTTCCTGCTGGATTTATTGGGTTATAGGTTTGATCCTGTTATCACTATCAGATATACTTGACTTACTGCTCGGATTATTGGGTGTATAGTTTGATCCTGTATCAACATCAAGTTTCCAGGAGACTTCCTCCTCTCGGCTGGTCACCATTAGATTATGACACATACAGTCTCATACAGGTCATTCAACAACAGTTCTATAATATAACATAGAAATGATTGTAAGAATGACATTAAAGGTGCACGCCTAACAGCATGAGCCAAAATCTTTCAAGAAATTTAATCTTTTATAGAACATTTATTAAGATTAAGACGCAGGGCCATGATGGCCTGAGTCCTCACTGTATATAGGACCCCGGAGCGGCCAGTTTAAACCCAGGCTTCTATTTGATCAACTTGGAAGAACACCATTAGAAGATGTTCATGATGTTAGTTTTACTACACACATATATATGAAAACAATGACTCCGCCCCCCCCCCCCATTCTGGCAGGGCAAATCCTTAAAATCCAAGGGCTTTATTTGGACAACTTGCAGACCACCACACAAAAGCATGTTCTGTCCTAAAATCTTAACCTCTAGCTCATTGGTTTTTTAAAAGGAAGATAATTTAAGTTTTATATATAACACAATAATACTTAAGAAAGAATCAGAAGATGACACTTCATTCTGGGGGCGGGCTAAGTTTGTACACGCTCCAGGGCTTGTTATTTTCGAAACAGAACTATGGTAGACCCACTTAATCATAGGAAAATGTTAAAAATCTAGATTAATCAGTCTATAACTCTAAGCTATTTGGTTTTTCAAAGAAAGAATTTTTAAGTTTATTGCCATACAAAAGAAATGATAACCCCGGGGCTGGCCAATTGAGTTGACCCCAGGTGCTTGTATTTGAAGCAGTACTGTTGTAGAACCCATTATGAACATGTTATGCTAAATATCTAGCTCTAGGCTCTTTGGGTCTTAATAACGAAGATTTTTAAGTTTTACTATATGCATAGGAAAATCAATGACCTGGGCGGGCAATTTTGACTCCCAGGGTGTTATATTTGAACATAACTTACTGTAACACTCACTAGAAGATCGTTCATCGCTTAATATCTAAACTTCTGCTATTTGGGTTTTTTCACAAGGAAAATTGTTTCAAGTTTTTTTGATCTATATCAGTACATAATAAATAGGAAAATCGAATGACCATGCTCCCTGGGCGGGGCCACTTTTTGACACGGCCAAGCCTATTTATTTGAACAACACTTAGTAGAGACACATTAATAGAGAAAACATAAGTTTCATGTCTAAATATCTTGCTCTAGCCTTTGGGTTCTTAAAAGATAATATTGTTAAAGTTGTTTTTACATAGTACGCAGCGGATAGAAGTGCAGTCATAGTGAGACATGATTCAAGATTGACATCCCGGGCGGGGCAAGTTTTTGAGCCACAGGGCCTTCTCCATTGAATCAAACCTTATTGATGAGACACTCACTAGAATGAGCTGTGTCAAGTAAGCGTATAAGTATCGCACAAACTCATAGCTATATGGGTTATTCTTCAAAAGAAGCATTAGTTTTTGGATAGTTTTTGCTATATTTCACACATATAGCAGGAAAATCAATGACCCCCCAGGGCGCGGGCCAATTTCTGACCGCCAGGTCGCTTTTTGTTTGAACAAACGTTGTGTGGAGTACAGGCGAATCGAAAGATGCCGCGGGCGATTAGAAACATGTTTTTCATGCTAAATATATTTAGTCTAGATCTTTGGGTTCTTTAAAAGAAGATTTTTGAAGTTTTACTAATGCTTATATAGGGAAAATCAATGACCCCCTGGGCGGGGCCCCAATTTTGACACCCAGGGCTATTATTTGACAAATTTGGTAGAGACACTCACTAGCAGAGATATTTCATGCTAGAATATCTTAGCTCTTAGCTCTATGGGTTCTTTAAAAAGATGATTTTTTAAGTATTTATATATCAATATAGGGAAACTCAATACCTCCCTGGGGGGGGCAATTTTGCCCAGGGCTTTACTTGAACAAACTTGGTACCACTCCTAGAAATAGTTCATGCAAATAGTCTATAGCTCTAGCTCTTCGGTTCTTTAAAAAATCTTCACAGTTTTTCTTTGTTGCCATGGCAACAGAGTTTGCATTGACATTACATTCTATGAAACAATTTTTACAAGTGACCAACAAATGGAACATTCCTGTGAAGTTGGGATGAATCCGGCTTCAGTGTCTTAGTGGGAGAATGTCATTTAAAGTAAAAGTTTACGGACGGTACAGACGACGTGGACGCCGGACGAAAAGCATCAAAAGAGCTACCCTGTCACTTTGTGAACAGTGAGCTAAAGTAACAACTGTCAATATTTAAATAATTTTTACATGTAGTGCGATCAATGAATGATTTTGCAGTATACAAACACTCATAATTTACAGCGACTATCGCCAATAACAGCATATTTATGTATATTTGACCCTTTTTTTAATGTTACTTGACTGTAAGACATTTGCATATGTGTAAATAACTTACTTTGTCAATCCATAATATTTTACTTAACCACATTTTCAAATTTCATGAAAATTATCATGAATCTGAGCATCGCTCTTTAATTAAGTATACCAATAAAATGGAATATGATAACATATAATTCATATCAATGTGGTAATATCATTGTTCATACAGGTATACCATAACAACAAATCACACAAACGTAGAAGAAACTACTGACGTCATATAAGTCAGACAATAAAAATAATCAGTGTAATAAAATCGATCCCTTCAACAAAGTGGTCATATCATCCTTCTTTTCAGAATTCATGTTCCTGACAATGTTGTCAAACACGCTTTAAACATTGTATAAGATTATAGAGATGGAGAAAAATGACTTTTTTTTGTCTCAGTAGCATTGACATTATCTAACAGGAATAGAATCATCAAAGTAATCACAAACCAAATATCTGAAGAAACTTAAAATCAAATATCTTATCATTGATTGAATAAAGGAATGTAAGTGACATGAAACATTTAACCTGTAAACATGTTATGACTCCCATAGACTTGAGTTTCAACCAAGAGAGCTGCATATATGGGTAAATTACTATGAAATTGTTCAATAGAATAATAGCGGTATGAGGTAAGTAAATATAATCTAACTTTCAAGCCTCATTGATAATTTGGCTTGAAACACATTTTAACTGTTTAGAAGTTGCTGAAAACAATTTTATAAGTAATGACAGAAAACTTTCCATTTGGATGACACGTTAGATAAACTTGCAGCAACATACCCTGAGTTTCTATTTTCTTTCTAGCACCTCAACCTTTAGAATTAAACTCACTTTCTTTTTGCTTTAAGGAAAAAGAAACAATACACTGTAAGATAAAAGATTTTTGGTGAGCAAAACATTAGGATAATGGAAATATAACATATATAAGCTCAGAGACCTACTGTATTAACTTGCGACAAGTTGTTCTACGCTTAGTCTTTACTTGTGTTAGAAGATCGTAGCTCCAATGTTCTTCATTAGTTTCTTTAAACCGTCTCCCTGTAATTCACAGTCCAGTTTATTATTAAAATTTCAGATGTTCAAGTATATAAACCGACACCGTAAACAAATACATAAAATTATAACAAGGAGGAACTAAACATAATACATAAATTGTATATACTTCAAAATCTAGTAAGAATTACATAATGCAATACAAGACTGTCGGAGACAGTAACAGCTCGAGCCTATTGCAAAAGTTGTCACAAGGGTGTTTCATTGAGTATAATAATGCTTACCTATATGAAATACATAAAATTGTCTGAAAAAGTACAAACCTTCAGTAGTTATGGAGATAGCCTGGTCTCCAACAAAAAATTTACCTAGCAATTTCTAAGTCAAAAAGGGGCATAATTATGCAAAAAAGCAAATCAGAGTTATGAGACTTGTGCCAATCATCTTAGATAATCACAGGAAACCAAGTGTGTGAAGTTTCAATCCATTCCCTTCAGTAGTAATCGGAGATACCAGCTTACACGCAAAAACTTAACAAAGAATTTCTAAGTCGAAAAAGGGGCATAATTATGTAAAAAAGCAAATCAGAGTTATGGGACTTGGGCCAATCATCTTAGATAATCACAGGAACAAGTGTGTGAAGTTTCAATCTATTCCCTTCTGTATTATGGAGATACCAGCTTACACGCAAAAACTTAACCAAGAATTTCTAAGTTGAAAAAGGGGTATTAATTATGTAAACAAGAGGGCCATGATGGCCCTGAGGTCGCTCACGCTGTATATAGGCCCCCCAACCCCCACCCCACCCCCCCAACGTTGCAGGGCCATTTAAAGCCAAGGGCTTTTATTTGCACAAACTCGTAGACGTCACCCATAAGAAGATGTTTCATGCTAAACATCTAAGCTCTAGCTCATTGGGCTTTTTGAAAGAAGATTTTTTTTAAGTTTTTACTATACACATATAGTTAAAAAACAATGACACCTGGGCCGGACCAGTTTTGACCCAGGGCTTTTATTTGAACAAACTAGTTTGTAGACACTTACTAGAAATGTTTCATGCTTAATATCTAAACTCTAGTATTTGGGTTTTGTCAAAGAAGATTTTTAAGTTTTTGCTATACACATATATAAGAAAATCAATGACCCCCGGGGCGGGGCTAATTTTGACCCCAGGTCTTTTATTTGAACAAACTTTGTAGACACTCACTAAAAGATGTTTCATGCTTAATACCTTAACTCTAGCTATTTGGGTTTTTTCAAAGAAGATTTTTTAAGTTTTTGCTATACACATATAAGGAAAATCAATGACCCCTGGGGCGGTGCCAATTTTGACCCCCGGGCTTTTATTTGAACAAACTTGGTAGACACTTATTAGAACATGTTTCATGCTAAATATCTTAGCTTTAACTCTTTTGGTTCTTTAAAAGAAGATTTTTTAAGTTTTTACTATATGTATATAGGGAAAATCAATGACCCCCTGGGGCGGGGCCAATTTTGACCCAAGGGATTTTATTTGAACAAACTTGGTAGACACTCACTAGAAGATGTTTCATGCCAAATATCTAAGCTCTAGCTCTTATGGTTTTTTAAAAGAAGATTTTTTACGTTTTTACTATATGTATATAGGGAAAATCAATGACCCCCCGGGGCAGGGCCAATTTTGACCCAAGGGATTTTATTTGAACAAACTTGGTAGACACCTATTAGAACATGTTTGATGCTAAATATCTTAGCCATAGCTCTTTGAGTTCTTTAAAAGAAGATTTTTTAAGTTTTTACTATATGCATATAGGGAAAATCAATGACCCCCCTGGGGCGGGGCCAATTTTGATCCCAGGGCTTTTATTTGAACAAACTTGGTAGACACTTATTAGAACATGTTTGATGCTAAATATCTTAGCCATAGCTCTTTGAGTTCTTTAAAAGAAGATTTTTTAAGTTTTTACTATATGCATATAGGGAAAATCAATGACCCCCTGGGGAGGGGCCAATTTTGACCCTAGGGCTTTTATTTGAACAAACTTGGTAGACACCCATTAGAAAATGTTTCCTGCTAAATATCTTAGCTGTAGCTCTTTTGGTTCTTTAAAAGAAGATTTTTTAAGTTTTTACTATATGTATATAGGGAAAATCAATGACCCCCCGGGGCGGGGCCAATTTTGACCCCAGGGCTTTTATTTGAACAAACTTGGTAGACACTCACTAGAAGATGTTTCATGCCATATATCTAAGCTCTAGCTCTTATGGTTTTTTAAAAGAAGATTTTTTACGTTTTTACTATATGTATACAGGGAAAATCAATGACCCCCCGGGGCGAGGCCAATTTTGACCCAAGGGATTTTATTTGAACAAACTTGGTAGACACCTATTAGAACATGTTTGATGCTAAATATCTTAGCCATAGCTCTTTGAGTTCTTTAAAAGAAGATTTTTTAAGTTTTTACTATATGCATATAGGGAAAATCAATGACCCCCCGGGGCGGGGAAAATTTTGACCCCAGGGCTTTTATTTGAACAAACTTGGTAGACACCCATTAGAACATGTTTCATGCTAAATATCTTAGCTGTAGCTCTTTTGGTTCTTTAAAAGAAGATTTTTTAAGTTTTTACTATATGCATATAGGGAAAATCAATGACCCCCCGGGGCGGGGCCAATTTTGACCCCAGGGCTTTTATTTGAACAAACTTGGTAGACACTCACTAGAAGATGTTTCATGCCAAATATCTAAGCTCTAGCTCTTACGGTTTTTTAAAAGAAGATATTTAAAGTTTTTTCTTTCGGTTGCCATGGCAACCAGAGTTCTGCATGGAATTAAATTCTTTGAACAATTTTTAAAGGTGACCACCAAAGGAACATTCCTGTGAAGTTTGGATGAAATTGGCTTAGTGGTTTATGAGGAGATGTCATTTAAAGTAAAAGTTTACGGACGGACGCCGGACGGACGCCGGACGAAAAGCGATCACAAAAGCTCACCCTGTCACTTTGTGACAGGTGAGCTAAAAAGCAAATCAGAGTTATGGGACTTGTGCCAATCATCTTAGATAATCACAGGGAACAAGAGTGTGAAGTTTCAATCCATTCCCTTCAGTGGAGTAGCTTACATGCAAAAACTTAACCACAGGGACGCCGACGCCGACAAATGGGTGACTGCATTAGCTCGATTATTCTGCGAATAGTCGAGCTAAAAATCTTCACAATTTTTTAAGAATGATTTTCAACTTTAATACAGCCAAACCCGTATCCAAACACCACTCTTAAAATAAGTTTTGAAAGGAGATCTTTGTTGAATAATTGTCATTGAAAATTAGAAAATTTGAATGGCAATAATTCAAACCAGACATTACAAGAGTGACTTGTGATGACAGGTTTTTCATTTATTGGCTTAAACATATTAAGCTCAATTGCTCAATTGCGAAACAAGTTGTTGCAACTTATATTAATCATCCTGAAACCAACTAGTCCTGGTGTCATATGAAGAAAGATGGTCGTAACCCAATTCAGACTCGAACCCATGATCTCTGGTTAAGAGGCAGACACCTTAATCGATAGGCAACTGCTCCCAATTTTCATTTATTAGTTTTATCCTAAAGTGCTTTTTAGTACACATGACAGAAAATAGAAAAAAAATACTGCAAAATTTCTGTTTTACAAATTTAAAGAGATTAGATTCTTCTTTATCAGAAAAAAGATTATTAATAAATGAATATAAAGAGTAACCTGTGTTGGAAGAGTATATCAACAGTGTTCATTTCAATGTTGTTGATATCTACAGCATTAAAGTTTATATGCATGATGAGCCAGAAGTTGGGCATAAGACGTGTGATGACCCCGCTCTCACTGAACATGGTGGCACTGTCGTCCATCTCACTCATATCTCCATCATATGCTACACAACATAATACATATGAGCCGCGTCACGACAAAACCAACATAGTTCATTTGCGACCAGCATGGATCCAGACCAGCCTGCGCATCCGCGCAGTCTGATTAAGATCCATGCTGTTCGCTTACAAACACTATTACAAGTAGAGAAACTGATAGCAAACAGCATGGATCCTGATCAGAATGCGCGGATGCGCAGGCTGGTCTGGATCCATGCTGGTCACAAAGGCATTACGTTGGTTTTGTCGTGATGCGGCTCATATATAGTGAAACATTTAACTAGTATTGTAGAAAGTGTAATAAACATAATAAAATGATAGGTAAAACAAAGAAAGTTACAAGTATGTTAACAGTTATATGCTGACAAATTTACTGTTTTACTTACACTAGGAAAGTCAATTTGCAATAAAATACTAATTTAGAGGAAGAACACACACAAAAATTTCCACTGTCTTAGCGAGTCAAAAATTTAGCCCAAACTTACTATGGCAGTAACTCAAAAATAAAAAGAGAAGTTATAGTTCTTAGGTACTGCACTTAAGTTATTTGGCTTTAACACTCATATCTCAATTGTCGATCAATCTTACTAGCAACTGCGAAAAAGACATGGATATACGGAAGTGTACGGAATTCCGTATATCATTAATATACGTGTAAGAATACGGGAAACTTAAAATACGGAGATGTACGGGACCGTATATTATATCAGTCCGTATATGACTCATATACGAACTCCGTACACTCGTAATATACGGGAACTTTGATGTACGAAGTCCGTATTTTACTAATATACGGAATTTTTATAACAAGTCCGTATATTACTAAAATACGAAAATCCGTATTCGTGCAAATACGGATTCTGTATATAGAAGTAGCGAATGAAAATTTACTTCTATATAGCCTATTTCCTGTAAGAGTAAAGAAATAGTCTGATCATATATTTATCAGACATTTGACAATTAACACAATGCAAAATTTCCTGGAGTTATAAACGCGTCAATTGCGTACAAATGATATCGTCAGTGCACAGAACGTGTAAGACATCCACCTGTAACATGAAGACGCGGTATTCTAGCTCAATACCGCTTGGTTTGCTTTTTAGCACACACCCGCAGATAAATAGCGAATACTTTACAATTGCGATTCACGATTAGATAGTACTGTTTTGCATTTGGCATCTATGGTGAATCATGTTATTTTTGTAATTTCCTTTTCATTATCATTATAATATTTTATAATGATAAGCCAAACATGAGAAAATGATAAAGTTGAAATTGTGATGTTCAAAACATGAATTAATTACAATAAAATCGTGGATCTGGGAAGTTGAAATCGTGAAAGTTAAAATAATTGTTATCACGAAGATGAAATCGGGATTGTCCACACAGCAATTAAATTTTACGTTGATATATGTCCTATAAAAATAGGCTAAACATAATATAATACATGTACTTGCATATGTAAAAAAACAACAATGATATCTCATTCATTCATTCATTCATTCATTCATTCATTCATTCATTCATTGAATAAATCAACCAATCATTCATTCATTTATTTATTCATACATTCATTCAATTATTCATTACTCATTTATTTATTTATTTATTTATTTAATCTTTTTTTCAGGAAACAAAGATTTGCGTTTCTGTACACAAGTTTTGAATAGAACTCTTATGAAGTTCCAAATTCCCCAATTTTGATTTCTTTCGTGCGGTCTCATTTATGACATAATATTGTGTAATAGCCACGTGCTGTATTGCCATAATCGAAGACAATACTGATTAAGCCGGATATTGATCCGGATATTGATCATAAACGCAGCAGGGTATATCGAGTGTCGGTTTTCTCCGATTAGGTAAATTAGCGCAATGTGTTGAATGTCTTAACGGTATTTTTACTGTCAATTTCTGATATAATTCATGTACGAAATAAGGGAATTAAATTGTAATCCTATGTGATTTTGTTCTAGATATTATAAAGACTCTAACCCGACATATCAAAATGAAACAGACATAGCTGCTGTATTCTTTCCAGTGCTTTTGCCGCTGTCGTGTTGTTGTTATCCTTTAATTTGGCGGAATTCGTCATTTAAACATGACACAATTAAGATTTATCTTGAAGTAAACTTTGAAGTTTCCTGCCGCCAGGTCCAATTATATCAAAGTTCACAAGCTAGAATCAGATGGATGTCACTGGGGTGTATGTACATGTATTGTTGATAGATGATGTCAAATTATTCGAAATAGCATTTCTTGAAAAATATCATCATCATCATCTCCCGAGTTTCCTCGTCTCCCATCAGCCGTGTTTCTGCATAATTCGGTGACTTGAACATTGTTAAGTATAGGGGAACATGACCGTGCTATGTAAATTAACATTTGTTACCAGGTTAAAATAAAATTATGTATCTTGGAAACTGTTTTTGTAAAAGTAAATTTCTGTTTAAAAAAATAAAAATTGTCGTAGTTTGATTTAAAAACTCAAGTTAAGAACATACTAAATTATATATTGATAGTAAAATCACTTTTTAAATTGGACTTTCGAATTTTTACCGATACTCCAAATATTTTTATACTAATAAAGTTTTATTTTAATTATGAAATCAGCAGATAATGTGAAAGGATCTTTATACTTCATTTATGTGTATTTGTAAGTAATTAATTTATTTATTTTAATGGGGATACGGACAAAAGCCCCCCTCCCATCTAAAAATGACAAGGTGGACAAAAGCCCCCCCCCCCCCCATGAAATTTACACACGTACGACAAAAGCCCACCCCCATCAAAAAATACAGGTAGGACAAAAGCCCCCCCCCCCCCCCCGTCCATCAAACAATTGCTATTGAGAATCACGTCAGTTTAAATCTGGAACTATGTTTACTTTATTGTATATTTGCAGTACAATTATAAATGAATATTTTCAGAGAATCGCTTTTCAAAGCTTATCAAGAAAATAAAAGTGAAAGGCGCATACTTGTCTAGATCTATTTGAAGTATAACCAAAGTTCCCGAACACTGAGCGTGCAAAACTAGATAGTAATCAGTCTGGTCTATAAACCTTAGGGAGGCTTTTGTTTGATGGACTGGGGAGGGGGGGGGCTTTTGTCCTATGTGTAAATTTAATGTGGGTCTTTTGTTTTACCCGCTTATTGTTGTTGTCACAAAAATTTGTGTAATTTATAAATTATTTCTTAGCGCTTCTAAAACATCTTTTTTTTATTATTATTGTTATTATCATTATTATTATTATCATCATCATCATCATCATCATCATCATCATCATCATCATCATCATCATCATCATCATCATCATCATCATCATCATTATCATCATCATCATCATCATCATCATTATCATCATTATATTAATATTATCACTATTATCATCATCATCCTCATCTTAAGTATTATTATTTATTATCAATATTATTATTATTATTATAATTATTATCAAAAAAATTAATAACCGATTTGGCATTAGAATCAAAGTTTTGCCTATGAAAAAGTATCAATGGTTATGTTATACATGTATGCAAAGTTATCGTTTATGGATACATGATATTTCCAATTTAATAAATGTAATATTGCATTATTTTGGATCGAATAAAGGTCTATGTATGCTGCATTATCACCGACCTTAATATAAATCAGTGGCATTATTAATGCTACAAACGGTATCTAGGCATATCACGCGTTTTCAAAACAGCCAATGAGTTTAAAGCGTTGGTTTTGTATCACGTGAATCCTATCAACCAATCAGAAATAGCGCGGGCGAAATGAAAAAAGAAAAAACGGGATTGGAAATGGATAGTAAATAAAATTCAGAATATTGCAAAACAAGGTAGGTTAAAAGTTATTTTTTATCGTTGCAATATCAATATGCGATCAATAGAATAGTTGCATTTTGTGAACAACAGCTTATTTCAGGGTTAAACTGATTTGTTTTTAGAAAACTTTAACACTGTTTAATCTGTTTCGCTATCCAATATGGCCGCCGGATTAGATAATTAAAGCAAGGATATACTGGGAGGTTACGAGTTTGATTTTGATTTCTAAACTGTATCTTGTTTAGTTAATAATTTGTATGAAAAATGCAAAAACAAAAAATGAAAAGGGCATTTGTTAAATGCGTTAATCATAACTTCCCTTCAGGTTAAAAAAGACACCGAGTTAAAAATTACGACATTTAAACAATGAAGATGTCAAGGTATTACAGCCCTGGACTGGGACATAGGGATTAATCAGTGTGTGTGTGACACGACCTATGTATGCTTGATTGGTCAACTAATTGGACTTTATAATCTTGAGCGATCTCAATTATCACTTAACAGCTGGGGTGCGAATCAAATTATTTATTATGTGCAAGAAAGATCATATCGGAAAGAGACACTCAAATTCTATTTATTTAAATAGTAATTTATGAAATTGATAGCCGAAAAATAGGTTATGTTTTATCTATTCAATATAATAACTAAAATTATCAGATTTAACAGATTAACATATTTTAAAAGAAAATTGGTTAGTACTTCTAAAAAATAGGTTTATAAATTTTAAGATAAAATTGTTTCTCAGTCTTGATAATTTAACGAGCAGAATACTTGTTTTATGTCCGCAGTTTTTATACAAATCCCCATTATTTGATGCAAACATAAGTCAATTTAAAGACTCCGCTCTTTTCAATAATTTACTTTTTTAAAGTTTCTGTACACATGTTGTTATATTTCTTATTTGTATTAACCTATTCTTAAATAAATACAAATCTTAAACAAAAATAGGAAACAAACATTTCTTTTTTTATTTAAATCATTATATATTTAGACGAATAAATAAAATGAAAATAATTGTCAGATTTTTTTATTTACATTAATACAAAGAATGTGTATGATTGCATGTGATATGGCCAACAGGTGTTAAGTTAAACGGTTAACTGTTAATTCACTTACCATTGGTGTCAAAATATAATTGAGCCGCGTCACGCCAAAACCAACATAATGGATTTGCG